GGAAGATTGTGTGTGTGTATGTGTGTGTGTGTGTAAAATCTGATCTGCACATGGAAGATTTCTACATTTTACTATATGTAAAATATATTCAAGAAAATAAAAAGATACTCACAAAAACCCAAACCAAACTCACTGCCATCGAGTCGATGCTGACTTAGCCTTCCAGCAACCTGCAGTACAAGACGGAACTACCACTGTGAGTTTCTGAAGCCGTTAACTTTGCTTCAGAGAAGTTGGAGCTTTGACCTGCTGACCTTATAGTTGGCCATCTAACGTGTCAGCACTACATCACCAGGGCTCCTTCTCAAATCAGCTATCATCATGAAAAACGCATTACTAAAATTAAAGGGAAAATCCATATATGGCACTTACCAAAATTCAAGAAAATCAGTTTGGCCTGTATTGCAGGACATAGTTTGACGAGAAATGGAATGGCAATGTACAACCCCAAAATAAAGAGAAGTATCTTTCTCAGCCGGAACCACAGGCCCTTTCGCCTGCAAGGAAAAAAACAATGCATAGATCAAGAGTTAACAGATACAATTTTGCGACTGTTTAATAAGTGTTATAGATATCACAAAACAAAAAAATAAGAATATTATATTTTCCCACAAGAACAGTAACATAGTTAGATTAGCCACCCGTCCTGATTTGTTAAAATAATTGTTTTAGAGATTCTTTTGATCAAAAGTTTAGAGTGCTACTAGAAAAAAACATTTTTTTTTGAAAGCCAGTTACTAAACCAAAAATTCTGATCGCACTCATGGATCAGAATACAACAAAGCCATCAGATCCTCAGAAAGTACTCAGCCTCAAATCAGACCCAAGCTGCAACTTCATCTCAAAAGAGAGTGTCTTCCTTGAGTTTCCTGGGTATCCTGCTTACTAGCTATAAGATTAGGTTACTCATTAGCTACCTGTAGGAGGGGTGCCTCCCACAATGGCAGCAACAGAACCTGCCCAACCAGATCCTGGGGAGAACAAGATTTGCTATAGCTGCCTATGCTGTGTTTCCAGCCAGAATGTGCCCTCTTACATTGTCCAGCCTCAGACAAGGTGTGTTAGTCTGGGTAAACTAGGGAAACAAATGCACAGAAACTCGTGTGTGTGTGTGTGTGTGTGTGTGTGTGTGTGTGTGTGTGTGTGTGTATACACACACACACACATATATGTATGTATATATGCATGTGTGTGTATATATATGGAAGAGTGTTATATAAAGGTTAAGTGTACATTCAGAAAGTATCTCAACCCAGTGCTGTCCAAGCCCATAAGTCCAACATTAGCCCATATGTCTGGCACCAATCCACAAAGTTCTCTACAATCTTACAAAACACACGCAATGATGCCAACTGCAGGAGGAAAACCGAACCAGTAAGTATGTAAGAATCTCCATGCTGACAGGAGTCTCCACACGGCTGCTCCAGCACCCAGGGCTGCATCAGTGTAGGTCCATGTGGCTTCTCCTCAGTGATGTCTTGCAGGAAGTGAGCCTTGCCAGCTGAAGCAGGGAACTGGCTAAGGCAGCTAGCTGCACCCTGGTCTGACCATCAGAGAGCAAGAGACCCGAGAACTAGAAAGGCGAGGCTCACCAAGCCATTTATCTCTCTGCCCTACAATCAATCACACATGTGCCTATCGGCCAGATTGGCACAATAAACCTTAACCATCTCACAAGGGAATCATTATAGGAGCTTAAAATCTTCTATCCCAAACCAGCTCTAAAAGTGCTCCCCCTCCTGTTCCCATACACCTTTCAAAAAATGCTTCTAATCTGGTTCTATGTAAGCTTTTAGTCTCAGGATTCCTCTACACTAAAAAAAATTGAAAAGTCCCTAAAGCTCTGTTTATATGAGCTATACATTTAATACTATTTATTACATAAGAAATTAAAATAGAAATTTTTAAAATGTTCTTTAAATTATCCAATAAGAACAATATGTAATACAAATACCATTTGTTATATAGTTTCCAATAAAAATTCATTCATATTTTAATCTTAATTCTCAAATGTTTTTTACAAATTTGTAATAGTCAAACAGTTTAATAAAAGGCAGCTGACTGTTCATATTGCTTGTTCATTCTGTGGGCTGTGATATCATGCATCATATAGCCTCTAAAAAATCCACTACACCTTCATGAAATCAAAACAAACTCACTGCCATTGAACTGATGCCAACTCATACCAATCCTACACAGGACACTTATGATTTTAGAGAGATAGATTCATAAAGCAAAAAGGAATATTACGGCTAATTAGTCCATACGGCAGTACAGAGCGCTCAGTTCAACTCACTTTTGTGGAACAGTTAATACACTGAAGGTCCTTCAATTCACATGGGCTGCCAGTCCAAGGTCAAGGAAGCAGAAAGCAGATTCTGCATTCAGGCAAAGTAGGCCCGCAAGGCCCGCAAGACAGCAAGGTGGGGCAGCAACAGTCAGCTGGCCCTGATGGGATTGAGAACTCAAACGACTCACTGCTACATGAACCACCAGCTTTGAGCTCAAATGATATATGCACCAGAGCAGTGCAGCAAAGATCTTGAAGGAGCCCCAAGCTCTAAAGACATAATCCACGGGTTGGCTTGGCTCACATGTAGTGCAGCATATGGTTGGGGCAAAGAACTAATTCAAGCAGCAGCACACTGGTCTGATCACCAGGGAGGAAGAGAGAGGAGATGCCAGCCATGGGAAGTATTAATTTCAGTTGCCTTCTAATCAAACTGTGGCCAGATTAACTCTGCCCACATATTCCTATGAAGGCCTAGATGGCACAATAAACCTTAGTCCTCAAAATGACATCTTGCTCTTCAACATCTTAAAGGTCTTGTGCAGTAGATATACCCAATGTAATACAGCTGACTTCTTGACTGCTGCTTCCATGAGCATTGATGGTTGACCTAAGCAAGACGAAAACCTGGACAATTCCAATCTTTTCTCTGTGTATCATGGTGTTTCCCATTGGTACAGAGGATTTCTGCTTTCTTTATATAGTTTAATCCTTACTGAAGGCTGTAGTCCTTGATCTTCATCAGCATGTGCTTTTAGGTCCTTCACAAATTTAGCAAGCAAGACTGTCACCTATATATCACAGGTTGTTGCTAAGCCTCCCTGCAATCCTGATGTCCTATTCTTCTTCATATAGTCCAACTTCTTGGATTATTTATTTGCTCAGCATACAGAATGAATAAATATAATAAAAGGATACAACTCTGATGCATACTTTTCCTGATGTTAAAATGTGCATCATCCCCTTATTCTGTTCAAACAACAAACTCTTGACCCATCATGCATAAAGACAATTAAAGTGTTCCAGAACACCCATTCTTCTCGTTACTCATAGTTTGTTATGATCCACACAGTCCAATGGCTTTGCATAACCAACAAAACACACATACACATCTTTCTGCTACTCTCTGCTTGCAGCCAAAATCCGTCTGACATCAACAATGATATCCCTTGTTTCATGTTCTCTTCTGAATCTGGCTTCAATTTTCTGGCAGCTCTTTGTAAAATCATGCAGCAGCTGTGGAGGCCAGTTTGGTGATATCTCAAGAAGTTTAACATAGGACTTCCATATGGCCGAGCAATCCCAATCTTGGGCATACATACTCAAAGAAGTACAGCAGAAATGCCAACAGAAACTTGTACATCAAAGTTCACTGCAGCACTTTGCACAATAGCCAAATAGCCACTGAATGTCCAAAAACAAATAATGGATTAAAAAAACATGGTATGTATACAACAAGAAAAAGAAAAATGTGTCCTAATGCATGGCTAAAATTAGAAAACAGTAAGCTCAGTGACAGTCAAAGACTAAAATACAAATACTTTTTGAGCTCATTTATTTGAAGTAATACCATATCCCCCAAAATAAGACAAGTGTCTTATATTAATTTTTGTTCCCAAAGATGCGCTAGGTTTTATTTTCAGGGGATGGATGTCTTATTTTTCCATGAAGAACACTGTACACATTTATTGTTGAACAACCGAAAAAGGAAATTTATTACCTGTATACGGTACAGTAGTAGCTGTCATCACAAACCAGCATAACCAGAAAAACTGTGAATCCTACAGTATCAAGAATTTCTTGTTACTACCATTATTTCCATGTACAACAATCTATGGTACATTTACTCATTTATTCAATGACAGTCATGTCATCATCTTCTGGAACATCATCATAACAATCCAAACCCTTATTTTCGGGGAGGTCTTATATTCAGAGGGATGCCTTATATTTCAGCGAGAGGCAAAACTGTAATTAGGTCTTATTTTCAGGGGATGTCTTGCTTTTGGGGAAACAGGTAGTACAAATAGTATCCAATAATTATTAGTGTTTATGGGAGTGAAGGATGGAGGAGGGAAAAAATGAGATTTTGCTTGCGAAACATTGAGTTTAGATATTAAAATATTACAATAAGTTCTGAAATAATAATGATAAAGTCTGTCCAACATGAGGAACACAATTAATGTCACTGAATTTATTTGTAGAAATTGCAGAATCAGCATGGGTTTTGTAGTACATATTTTAATAAAATCTCTGTATTTAAAATTTATTAACAGTAAAATTATTAGGTTGGGTAAAAATAAATAAAAATTTTAATAGCCACATGTTATCTGTAAGAGACAAAAAAATGACAGAAATATAACTCATTCACTCACTGCAATCCATAATGGTGGCAGAATAATTTGAGAAAGGGTAGTAGTAGCAGTTGATGCATGTAATCAATGCCAATGAATTCTGTAAAAACTGTTCAATAACTGACTGTATATATCTCCACAATGAAGTAAAACAAGTAATTGAAAATAAAAAGACCCAAATTAAGAATATATAAACCACAATGAAAGGATTAATGGCAAACAAAATATAAATCATGGTGAAACCGTCAATTGGCTCTTTATATCAGAAAAAGGTTCAACTTTTCAAAAACAGTCAACAGCCACAGCTCATCAAGGCGAAAGTCGCACTGCTTTTGGTTTATATATTTCTAGACTAAAAGAAATATTTTGTACAGTGAGAAACATACTTATCCCAAAAGTCAAAAGTAAGCAAAAAATCAAACCCTAATACACACACACACAGAGGAAACTAGGATTATGCAAGAGATTGGCTTTAATAATATGCCTTTTTAATTATTTGAATGAATATGGTACAATTTGAGACTGTAACTCCTTTACAAATTCACATACATCTCTAAATCTACTTATGTGTTACAGCACAGAGTAAATGTCAAATTCCATATAGAAAAAATATACAGGTTACACAAAGCCACTGACTATAACGCAATAAAATCAATAACAAACTGCAAAAGGATAGTCAAGAAAAAAATCTACCCACTACATACTAAAAAAAATAACCATTTGAAATGACAATTTGATCAAAAAGGAAACAGCACATTTACATAGGAATGAAAGCCACTGAATACCAAAGCCATAGATAGAAGCTGAAATGTGGAACAAGGCCTTCTGGTTATAAGTTAGTTGAGTGGCTA